CGGGGAGAGCCTCAGACACCCCCATCAGGGACCACGTGCCGCAGAACATGGGCAGTGAATCCCTGGTCAGAGCAGGGCACGGCTGTCCTGCCCCCCAGGCCTCCCCAGGGCACAAGCCCCAACACCTCGGGCGTGAAGCTGTTGCCAAAGCACAGAGGTTGCGTCAGTCAGTCAGTCAGTCGCGGCCTGGCCCTGCCCGCTGAGCGGCTGTTGGGGCCGGCACAAGGGGGGCCTTTGTTCGGGCTATCAGCACATCTGGGCTCCTCCAACCGACGTGCTGCGGCTGAGGGCTGTTCCCTGCTCCCTCTGCAGCCGATGCACTTCCCCAGGCACAGGCAGGGCCGGGGGACACGCTGGGCACCGTTGGCCGTGGGGAGGGCACGGGTGACACGCCAGAGTGTCACTGCCTCCTGTCCAGGCTGCTGCCTTCAGCCCTTGCCCTTTCTGAGTCCCATCACTGCCTTTAGCAGCTTTCCGAGGCTCAAGGAAGGGGCCTGGGCCGTGAGCTCCCAGTACAAGAGAGAACCTACGGAGTTCTCAGTTATCATCACTCTCGACCAGGAGCAGCACTGAGCCCCTTCTGCAGCCTCTCTCACACCGTGGATTCTGTAAGAGCTTTTCCTGGCTACGCTTTCCTTATCCCTAACACAAACATGCCACACGCTCTGTAAACATCCGCAGGCTCTTATCACTCCTGCTCTCCTGGATTCTGTTCTCCCTCCGTCGCCTCTCTCATTCCTGTGACTGCCCAGGAATTTCCAGCTGGAGCAGCACGATGTCAGCAGAACATAGAGCTCAACAGCTGCTCTGCTGGCAGGAGACCCCCGATGTTACCCCCTCAGAAAGCTCTGTCTTCCCTGCCCCACAACCTCCCATCCCTGACACAATGCAGAACAGCAAAGGGCAGATCCTGCGCACACACTGCCACGGCGCTTCCTGCCTCTCCTCCTCTGGCAAGGGCTGTCCTAGATCCCATTTCACATTCCAAGCCAAGGGATCACGGTCTTCTCCCACCCCAGGTGTCTGCAGAAACGCTGTTCTGCCACTCCTTGCCACAGACCCAGCAGGGACAGCACACGGTCAGTTCAAAGATTTTATTTAACTGTCATAAAAGGAGAAGCAGACGATGATTCCAAACCTGTTAACCTGGTCTAGGACTTACAGACAATACGCACCAAATCAAATTTAACAAAAACCTCTCTAGGGGCAGGGCGAGGGGAGTTAGAGGCAAAGACGTAGCTACGAGAAAGCCACATGTACTTGGTCCCAGTTCTAATATGACCTCAACGTGGTGGATCCCAACGGGAGCTGCGGAGCTGGCGCGTGCCGGCCCAGCCCCAGGGGCTCCTTGGCCCCACGGCCGAGGGTGGAGGTTGCCATGCTGTGGGTCTGCGCGGGCACGGGGGCCGAGGGGCAAGGCAATAACTACTGACAGGCCAGGCACAGATTTTCAAGGCAGAACAGATACATAAGGCATTAACCGCTCAGAACACTTGTCCATCGCAAGCTCTTTGTTGATCGCGTCAGGAGCAGCTGCAGAGACAGACTCGTCCGTCCTCAGCCCAAAGCAGCCAGGAGGGCATGTGCTGTCCTGGAATTTCAGTGCTTTGCAGCTACCTGGGCTGCAATGAGAAGTGTGAGGTTATGGCACCACTGGTGACCCCTGCAGCCCCCTCGTGCCGCAGGGGCACCCAGAGAGCTCAGGGCTCTGCGCAGGCTGGGCCGGCGCTCGGGAGGGGCGGCCAGGGGTCACCTGGGGTGTCACACAAAAAAACCATGTCCCGTCTTGGGGGAGGAACGGACCAGCAGCAAAGCGGGAAGTTGTGAATCTTTCCTAATAACCCATGGGGGGTGTGACCAAGCTGAGCCCATGCCAACGGACGGGGAGGGCGGGTGGCGATTAAAAAGTGTAACAGGGGCAGGGCCCCCTCCCTAGAGGATACATGGTACACATTAAGGCATCATGGTTACAGGGAACATCCACAAATGAAGCTGCCAGTGCTCCCGGGACACTGACGGGGCAGAAGGGACAGGCGAAATGATTTGAGCCAATGAATGGATTCGACAGCTGCCTGGCACCGCAGTTCTTCAGCTACTGGGAGGCAGTAGCTACCCTGAGCTGTGTGCAGGAAAGCCAAGCGCAGGATCCTAACAGGAGTCCCTCCCCTCTGGCACCTCCCGGGCAGGGAGGGCGGGAGGCAGGTGAGGGAGCTCCCTGGGCGCTGGGGCAGCACAGCCCCGGACGGGCAGCTGGAGAACAGATGCAGACAGCAGGGGTTGGCCAGTGCACTCGGCGATTCTCTGGGGAGGGGGCGCGTACGAAACTGAGCTCTCTGGTCAAACGATAATGGGGCGACAGGGGAGAGGGTTCCAATGTCAGCACTTTGGTACAGGGGGGGAATTCTACGGTAGCCACTGTCTGATTCACGCTCTCTGGGGTTTGGCCTCGGGAAGGGCTAGTCCTTCCAATCCTTCTTGATGGTCAGGTTCCACTCCCAGGACAGGTGGTCAGTCTTATCATCATCTGTGAACTTGGATTTGATGTTGTAGCTGCCCCGGGCCAGCATGCCCTTCGGGGCCTCTTCCATGGGGGTCAGAAACTCGTACTCCTCTGCTCGGGGGCCGTAGCTCCCAACCATGTATTCGGTCTTGTCAACTGGAAGGAGAAAAAGACGTGTGGAGGTTGTTCAGGAGCCTCCCTTGCGCCTGGGGCAAGGGTAAAGCAAACGTGTTACTGCCACCACAATCCAATGAACAGCTGTGAGAACACGCATGTTGCCCACATTCAGAGCTGTGTTCCCTCCAGGAACAGTCACTCCTGTGGGGAGTGACCCCCCAGTGCTGGCACCGCTGTCAGCTCTGACCAGATTCACACTGTGCTTGGGGGATCACGCGCTGTGCAGTTGGGACTGCAGGCCTGAAGGCCTCTGCAGAGCTCCATGGGCCCAGAGGCACTGAGATGGCTGTGGACTGTTCCCTCCTGTGAGGAGCCCTAGGCAATGCCTGGCACAGTGGTGGGACAGGCAGGAAGGACTCGCTCACACCGAGCAGCACTGAGGCACAGAGAAGAACTTACTTTTCACGCCTTTCCGGAACGTGTGCTGGATGTACTTCAACCCTGACACAATCTCCTTGTTCACCTGCAGGGAGAGGAGCAGTGACACATCTGTGTGCAGGACACACCCCTGCCCAGCCCACCTGTGAGAGCCCATTCCCCCACAAGGCCTGTGGCAGCTCGGCCACTTTCCACATCGGAATCCTTACCCTGAAGGAGATCTTTATCCGGTATTCCACGCCCTCCTTCAGCACAAACGCCTGCTTCTTGTAGCTCTCCAGGTCACCTATGAAGAAGGGGGAAGGTTGCTCAGAGCCCCTCTGTGCTGTGCTTTGGGGTGACTCCCTGGCAGGATTGGTGGGAGCAGGGCATGGCCCTCACTGCTGGCAGCTCTCAGAGCCCTCCGCGCTGCCTGCGCTGGGTGAGCGATACCCTGTGACAGGACATGCGGCACAGCCAGGCACTTAATTCCACAGAGCTGCTTTACATTCCTGTGTCCCAAGGCTGTCACTGGTGTCACTGTGCAGGTTGGAGCCTGCTGCCTGCCCCACCCTGCCCCTCACACCCCTACACAGCACTCAAGTGCCACAGCACTGCTGCCAGGCCTCAGGTACGGAACCCACCGGGGCCCAGGCACCTTGCTCTGCTTCTGGCACCCACACTCTGATAGGGCTCACCCACCTGGCCAGCAGTGCTCCTGCCAGCTCTGGAATTCCTTCCCAGCTCACCTGTCAGGTCCAGCTCCAGGGGTCCTGGAGCAGTAGCACAGACCAAGGTCAGTTTTGTCACCACCACATTTGGAGCGTTGGGATCTAAACACAAGTGAAAAGACTGTTAAACACCTATCCCAGACACCAGCCAACATGGCTCCTTTTCCTTTCAGGGCACTTCTTAGAAGAACAAAAAAACCAGTGACAACAACCTCCTCCCCCGTGAGGATCAGTGCCCCCCATGCGCTGGGCCCAGCCCACAGACTCCCGTGAAGGCAGAGTGCCACCCCCACCCCAGGCCAGCAACGAGCACAGGGCAGTGCAGACACAGCTGTGTGCTCTGGGCTGTGCTCCTGCCCAAACAGAGGGGACTGACAGCTCTGGCCCGAGTGAGGCACTGCCACGTCCCAGGGCTCACCTGCACTCACGGTGACGGTGCCCAGCAGTGCCTCCTTGTACTTGCGCAGGCTCTCGTCATCCTTGTCCAGCTCCTGGATCTCCTGGATGCTCTTCTGGGCAGGAGGTTTGTAGTTTACAGAGTGTTCATCCTCCTCGTTCTCCGCTGCAATCTGGGCCAGTTGCTCCGCTGTTGGCTCCTGCTCTGCCATCCTCACAGGCACGACCCACACTGCAGCAGGAGGAGAGGTGTGACTGTCTGACTGACCACACCAGCACAGGGTCCCCCAGGACTGCCCCCAGGCTCCTGCTCACTCTGAGGCCATTTGCAATGTCCCCAAGGGGACACGACCCTGCCAAGGTCCCCAGCCCCACAGACCCCTCCAGGGGATAGGTCTTTGCTTCAGCCCATGGAGGCCCAGGTGAGAGGGAGGAAAAATTCCACCTCGGTGCTTTGCTCATAAGCTGGAACAGGTAAATACCCCAAAGCCATATGGAAAACACTCTCCTACTAGATCAACGGGGTGAGGCTTTCACTCGGAGTAAGTCCAAGCCCAGAATAAACCCAGTTCTGCTCTGCACAACACAGGATTCCAGCTAAGAATAGGCCCCTGTCCCACCACTGGCACAAATGCCAGGAGCTCTGTGGGCTCTGATTGAGCCTCTCACGTGGTGCTCATGGCTTGTAACTCAGGTCTCTGCTCTGTGCCAGGTGCCTCAGCAGAGTGGGGTGAGACCACCCAGCTTGGCTCTTTCCACAGCCAGGGAATCAGGTAGTGGAGCAAACCCCATGTGGAGCTGCCCAGGACTGTGGCCAAGACAGCCCTGCTGTGCCAGGGAGAGGAGACACCACATCCCATTAAAATCCTCGGTAGGAGTCAGCAACACCTTCAGAATTCCTGGAGTTCCACAGGACATGCTGCCTCAAGGGTCATCCTGCAGCAAAGATCAGCTTGGACTCTCTAAAGACAAAGGGCACTGGCACAGCTTTAGAAAGGCATCAGAGGGACAATGGGACACCTCCAGGCTATACAGGTGTGTGTGTCAGGAGCTCTTCCTGCTGTACCTGTCTACCTGCAGCTCCCACAGGCACCTGCATTGTACAGCAAACCCCTGGTCCTTTCACATGGCATCCTCCAACATCCTCATACTGAACACTGTGGGAATTTGTCTTCAAAAGGACATTTAACCTCATGTCACACACAAACAACTGATGAGATTTCACTCAGTGTCTCCATATCAAACCCAGTCCTTTCCCTTGTGTGCTTGTTCCAAGCAGCCACTATGCTTGAGGACTCCCAGAGGTGCTAAGCAAATGCTCACTCACAGAGCCTGCACTGCTCCATCCCCTCTCTGCACCTTTGGGCCCTCCTCCAGGCTAGATTCCCCTCCCAGGTACCACAGGTCACTCTAACTCCCACACCTTGCTCCGAGGTCGCCTGCAGCTTCCAGGAAGTGAAAGTGTCACTTTCAGTTTCACAGAACCGAAACTCCTTGTCGCAGACTCCTGCTGACTCCAAAGCCCTGTGACTGAGCCCTCTGTGAGAGCACAATCACACACCTGGCAGAGGATCCACCACAGGTGTGTCCCTGTGGGTATCCCCTGCAGTGTGAGCATCCACGTACACTCTACCTTCCAACCCTCACACCCAGCAGAGACAAAGCCTCTAACAAACCCAGGCCAGCAGGAGCTGTCAGGCAGCCTCTGCTTCAACACCCAAAGCTCATGGGTTGTGTTCCTGTGCTCACCTCTCGGGTTGTGTTCCTGTGCTCCAGCCTTACTCCTGTGACCCAGAGCTAAGGAATCGTGCCCGCCACCACACGGATTAATCACAGCCCTCCCAGCCCCTCTGAGGGGACAGCAGCCCACTGGAGACACACAGCACCCCCTGGGACCAGCAGCACGGCCAGGCCTGGGCTCAGCTCTGCAGGCAGCCCACACCTCTCCCACCAGGGTCCCTGTGGTTCCTGGGGGTCCCACAGTCCCTGGGAACACTGCCAGGCCCCGGGGAGGGCCTCCAGCCTGTGC